CCACATCTAAGCAGTTCTGAGGTTTGTGGAAGTCTAACAACCAACCAGCAGTACTGGGCTGTGTAAGCAGCTTGCATAGGCTGCTCTACAGAAACCAGTGATCAGAATCACCTTTGTCCAATGGCTCCATGTAGAAGCCTTTTCCTGTTCATAAGCAACCTATATTTTGTGTAGGCTTTGCAACAGCATTCGGAATCATATCTACTTCTGGATAAAGATGCAAACTGCATGGAAATGATGCTACCTCAAATAAAAATATTACAGCCAATCCTTTTATTTTTTAACATAGAGTTAGTCCTCTCTGTACCTTCCCAGCATCTTTATTTGTAAGATAATCAGTCAATAAGTAGTTAGTGTTACTAACTAGACACAGAGCTTCTATGCATGGGTACCTGCCAGTTACCATCAAGCAAGTGTCCACAGTTCAATCAACATGAAGTCAGCCTTGTAAAATTTTCCTCTTGGCACATCTAGAAGTACATATACCAGTCTAAATCCAGCCAAAATAATCAATCTTTGAGATTCTCTGCCTTGATTATACCTGAAAAAAGCAACTACCTAGGCTGGTGGCTTAAAAACATTGTAGTGAAGTTGTAGACTTTGTGAAAACAGTGTAATTATGCACAAAATCAGCAGTCACTTCAAGAATATAAAAAAACATTCTTATATAAGCACATACCAGTGGAATCTCTGGACTAGAAAGTGGGGAGCTGTCAAAAGACCAATTTTCTTTGTCCAGGGACTCATCATCATCATCATCTTTATGTGCAAATTTCTGCTTCAGTGCACGAGTTAGTAGATCAACTGGATCCCAATCTGAACTTGGTCTCCTTTTGGGTCTAGAAAGAGGAGTGCCTCCAGGGGACCTACAAAAAAAAATAAGAAAGAAAATTACTGTCTCCTGCCCCTAATGCTATGCAGCAGTGAATCAAAAAATATTTAAATATTGCAAATAAATAGCAAGGAAAAGAAAAGGGTGCAAAATGTGCAGTTTTCACAGCAGGTCTCATTTGTAAGTTATATTACAGTATGTTAGTGGGAATCTCCCACATCAAAATTGTGTTCACAATGGCTATGATGTATGCCAGTGGGAGATTTGGCTATGATATATGTTAGTGGGACTAACATATATCATAGCCATTGCAAACACAATTTTGATTTAAACATCATTAATGTTAGAACAGTATGCCTTTCCATGGTCTTACAAGAAAGAAGAAGCTTATAAAATTCCTCCGAGCAATTGTATTTAAAGAAAGCAAATGCTTTAAGTCAAATATGTAGCCAAGTGTCCATAAAGCCCCATTTATAAACCACACTTAACTCAAGTTTCATTATAAAAGGAAAAAAAAACCAAACATTGTTCGATTTGGCACAAAGGCTTCAAAGACAGTTTTTCCCTCCAAGTGAGCGCCTGAGCATCCAAACATTAAAATTGTATAGGCAAAAAAGTAGAGTTTACACTTTAATTTAGAAATTGTTTATATCAACTTCAAAATCAAAACACAGCAAAGAGACGCGAGATCAAAACAGCACCCACACCCAAAAACCTAACAAAAATAGGAAGTTAACAATTAGGTCAAGAAAATAAATCATACAAAAGCTTCCTAACCATTGAAGTATTCAAAAAACAGGTATTCAGACACCTGCTAGTAAAGCACTATCTCTAGGCCAATGAATTGCACCTAATGCAGACTGACAGCACTGCGTTCGAAGTCTGGCAGTTGCAGTAGATGTTGTTTAACATGAAACCTGAAAGGACTGAGTTTACCCTTGCTATAAAATCAAGCTGTCAGAGAACTTGCCCAACATGTAAGCTGGTACTTGGGTGGTAGAAACTGGAATCTTCAGGCTCTCAGAGGTCTTCCCTCTGCAGTGCACACACTGAACTACTGTCAGACTGCTGCCTGAAAGATCATAGCAATTTTGATCATCATTACTCCCTCCAACAATGTAAATACATCATACAGTTATGTTCTACCTTCAGAATACAGGTAGGTGCCTAAATCCAGAAAGCACTTTGGAGGTATACCTACCACTTCCAATTAACTATGCACTTGCTCAACATGACAGTTGTTAAAACTGTCAACCTTAACATTTCACTTTCTTCACTCACTGCACATGGAATTATAGTGCACTTTATATTTGATTTATTTACTGTGAAAATATTATCAAAAGTGTAAGGATGTGTTTTAAAGTTGCATATAGATAATTTCCCCAAGACATGCTACTTATTTTCAGGGATGAAGCTCAGAGCTAAGAATATGGTGAAATATGAACTCATTAAGCTTTGGTAAATTACATTCTCCCCACATGATGAGCTCCAAATGTTCATTACAGACTCTGTTGTTCTTACATAATTTTTCAACTAAAGAAGTTCAGAAAAAACATCTCAACTTCAGTTACACCTAGCATACTGACTTGAAGAGGTATCAGTCTTTAATAATGCATTTTTGTGATATGTCAACTGTGCTTACAACCAAAACAGTAGACCATTGAAAATATTTATGATCCAACTGCACTACTGAAATACAAATTTAAAAAACATTTTCAATAAAAGATACAGCATGTATTTTCTGTAACACTTCAAAGCCAGGACCAGGATACTTTCAGTATACTAACAGTAGCTTTCCAACATCCCCCCAAGGATCTTTCCTTTCACAGTGAATCAAAAAAGTTTATTTGTTCAGATCCATTTCCTGCGACAGTGTACGTGACTTTGTAAGTGATCTACACATATAGCAACACAACCACCTCCCCTACACCAACCTGAGATTATACTAAAGCAGCAGACTAGTTCTAAATGCTGTGATAGTCAGCATGTTTTAAATGCATCTAAAAGCTGTGCCACAAGTATCTTACATTCCAAGCTGTGAACTTAGAAGTTGCCAATGTAAGTTTGTCAGCAGTAGCTGCTCATTAAATATTTCACATTGGTGTTCCCTGATGCTATTTAAGGGTTGACATAGTTTTGGCTTACTCAGATCCATGCTCAATTCAACCTACCTCTCAGTAGCTCTCAGCTGAACTTTGTTGAGGTCTTTTAATACATCCATCATACTAGGAATGTTCTTTGTCCTCTGGTGACCAGCACTCTCAGCTGTAGTCGGAACATGGTTTCTTGAAGCAAGACGTTGTTTTATAAGTTCAACTGCCGAATTACTAGCAGCAACACCAGATGGTACACCAGAAGGAAGCGGAGGAGGCGAGGGAATTACAAAGTGATTGTGAGAGACGGACAGTGGCGTAGAAGTCATGGCTGGCACTGGGTAAGATCCATCTGGAATGCTGGATGTTTTAAAGGCTTCTGGATGCAGTTAAAGAAAAATAGGGATTTTATTTTTAGTCAGTATACCCTCATAATTGACAATATTAAGCAACACCTAGGATGACTCAGTTTTCAGTAAAGACAAGACAGCCCTCTTACAGCACTTTCTTACACACCTCATACAAAGAACATTTTTTATTTCAAAACCAAAGATTCAGAATGCATGTAATAATGAATCTGAGGTATCTTGTGCTCCTCCGATTTTCTCCATTTGTGTCTTCAATCTGAGCACCAGATAAATCAGCAAAGCAGCCTACTACTACATACAATTCATTCTCAGCAGTCTGAAGGCTACAATAACCACATAAGGCGAAAGCAAAGAGAACCACAAGACACATAAAATAGACTACAATACAGAGTGCAATGGAGAAGAGACAGAAGAATCGCCAACAGAACAGCTAACTGAATCACCGAGGTGATCAAAAGTTACTACCTCACACCAGCCCAAGTATTTCAACAACCACAGTGGGGTTAGTGTGCAAATAAGACAAGACCGCAAAACTCTTAAGGGAAAAAAATAACAAAAATAAAAAAATTTTAAAAAAGGGTCACAAAAGATAGACTTTCATATTGGAGACCAACTTTGATATTCTAGTGACACATCTATTTGCAGCATTTGTTTTAAGCCTGAATCTGACCGACTTAGAATACTTTTTCTATCCATTATTCTGACAACTTGGCAGAAACAGTACAAAACCCAAATGGGGTAATTAATAGTCTGTAACTGTTTTAAACAGTAATTGGTAGCCTATGAATAGCGTTGTTACTAAGCTCCTTCATACACATGGTGGAGAGTACAAGGGTAACTTAAAATCAACTGCATTGAAAACTGGCAAAGATACTACAAAATAGAAGGGGGTAGGGGCAGTACCAAATGCTAAAAAGAAAAGCAAAATAGAGCATTCTGTAAATTTAGTTGGTGTAACTAAATTAGAAGAAGTTAGAAATTAGGATTGAGTTCTTCAGTTAGAATTAGAGATGTTCTCCATTAATACGAAGACACAGCAAGCTATGAACAGGCACTCTAACGCAATGAAAGGAAAACTAGTTTGCTTCAAACCAGAAGGGCTTACGTGAAGGGATGCTTCCCAATGTCTGTGCGGAAACAATTGCAGCAATCTGAGCACGAAGAAAGGTTAGCTCGTTTTCAAGTGCAGAAATTTTCTGGAGCGCTGCTCTATCAGCAAGGTCACCTCCTTGTGTACTGTTTTTTGGACCATTTTGTATTGAATCTACAGATGGACATTGGTGACGATGACCTGTACCGCCTTTTTTTTTCCTCCACAACTCAGTCCTAGAAACCAACAAAAGACATAGTTTCAAAAGGTTCAGGCAACACAGGGAATCCCAGAATTTACTCACTGTCTGTTCAAGCAAGTTATCATTCAAAAAGCTGTAAGTTCACAAACTAAGAAAACTTCGCACTTCTAACTACTCATAACCTTAAAAATATTTTAAAGTCTCCCTCTGCTCAAGCATGATCCAGATCCTTGCAAAGTCATCGTAAAAAAGGTCAGATATCAGCAACAGATCATACATCATAAAGAGATACTGTAGGTGTGAGCTGTTATTACTGAATAACTATTTGACACCATAAAGGTGTCTCTCCCTCCTCCCTACCTGAAACAGTAGATATGAGAGGCAGAAACATCAAATAATAATAATGATCTTTTAATTAGGCTTCACAAATTTTAGTCGTTTATCAAACTGTGCAAGATGAACACAGCAAGCAGCAAAGAAGTTGCGATCTTACAGAAAGATATTGGAGAAGAATGAGTTTTAATACACACAGAGTAAGAACCTCATCTTCTGTAAGCTACATATGAACACAGACTGCATTAGAAAGTTGTTCTACAAGTCTCAGGTTTTCATTTTAAAAACAATTTTGAGTCTGTGCCTGCAGAAATAACTTCTAAAAGAACTTTAAAACAGCAAATGAGTGTAAACAAAAACTACCAGAATTTCATTATGAAACAAAGAAATTAATTTATTCAAGATGCATTAAGTTTTGATTGAAACCAAACTAGACCTTTTCCCTTTTATTAGTCATTCTTGTGGCTTAAATCAAACCTGCAGCATTGTTTTCTGATTTGCCCAAACCCTTTGCTATTCACACTGGCTCAGAAGGGTAAGGTATAAATTGGAGGACCTGTTCTTAAAAAACATCCCACAGAGCTAGGAAAGGGGGAGGAAGAAGCAATAGAAACAACAAAAGAATGAACTTTCATGGATCTGTGAATCAGATCAGCTAAAAATCATCACAGGCAAGACATAATAGGTCACAGTTCCTTTTAACAACATTCCTACTCTTCAACTATTTTGCAGCTGTTGAAAAAAAAAAAAACTTTAATAATTCAACAGTAACATCTCAGGATCACAAGATGAAACATAACTTCATCAATACCTCTCTAATAAAAACAGGTGTCATTTGAATTAATCAGTTTCTTGTATTTTCATTACCTGCAAGCAGCACAAAGGTCACAAACATGCCAGTAAGAAGTTGAATTGCATTGTCCAATTCAAATGTAGCACAAGACAATACAAGAGTCTAAATTTTAATCTTATTTCCGGCTCTCTAACTCATCCTCTGATTTTGAACAGACCCTTTAGAGGAACAGTAAAACAACCTTCTATGTCTTCTCTAGTGGGGGGGGGGGGGAGGGAAGACTTGTATACTATTTCTGTCTGCAGATTCCTGGATAATCAGTCACATCACGGTCCTAGTAATAATTTATAATTGTAAAACTATTCTCCTTTAGCACTCTTTAAAATCTAGAAAGGATTATATAAACTATATTCAAGGTAATTTTTTTAAAATCAAGAAATTATGGTTTTCTTTCCAGCAACCATCATGTATAGCACTGTAGCAACCATAGTCAAAAAGAGACATTTTTTTTCTTCTTTTTGCCCCTTTATAAAGTTTATCAACTTGATTGTAAACTAAAGGGATAAAAACAGGAATAATCTTACAGTATGCTACAATACCCAAATTTCATTGAACTCCCTCTCTTGCTCTCAAAATACCTTGAGTATATATAAAATACCAATAATGCCTTAAACATGCTATTAGGAAGAGAAAAGAAGGGACTCAATTTAAGAAATCTTCCATATAAGAATACTCTACATGGTAAGAATTTTCAGGTAAGCAGGAACTGCTCCCAGAAAAATGTAAAATTCCAGGGTTGGTTTAGCTGGAACCCTGGAAGGGCTAGCATAAAAACAACCAACCAAAACACCAACGCAAACCCCAGAGAAGACATAAGTTACTCCTATTACTCCTTTTTAGACTTTTACTTACCTAAGTCTAGTAAATGCCTGTCCCTCATCATTTGCCACCCACAGGACATCAGCAAGTGATGGAGCTACAGGAGGTGGAATGGTGCTTTGTTCATCATAATCCAATGGACCTGGGTCTTGAACAAGCTAGAAACAGATAAAAAATGTATGAAGAGAAACTGGATCCAGCACATACTGAAAATTCTGCCTCAGCAAAAGGAGTTAAACAGTGCTATAGGCAAATTGAAAACAGTGAGCATAAGGAATGCAACACAGTTACACAAGCTAAAAAGAACAGGAAAGATAACAATTAAAAAACAGAAAAATTAAACAGTTGAAGCATATGTATGAAATAAATTGCTTACTCGAAAATAAGGTCTTGGGTAAGGCTCTATGGAAAGAATTGTCCCAAGTCTACGGACAACACTTCGAGTAGATCCATATTCCTTCATTTGGCAAGCAGATACAACCTAAATATCAAAGTACCTTTTAATGTGAGAAGCAAAATCAAAGCCCTCAGTTCTTACAAAGTTATTAAATAATTTAATGTTATATGCAACTAAAGATAATGCAGTTAAGTTCACCTAACTTTTCAATGCTCCTCTCAAGCCTGAAGTCCAAAGAGGCCAATGCTGGTTTTAATAAACTGCTTCCAAAACACTGCCAAGATACAGCCTATACCCAGAATATTTTAGAGTGGCACAAAGGCCACCAAGGAACATAGCAGCTACATCATGTAGTTAATAATATCCTGAGATAACTGACAAATGAAAAAGTGCACAATTAAGTAACAATATGCATCTGTGTAAGTCTTGGGAAATACAAAAAGAAGAAGAAAGAGTAAGGAAATGAAAGAAATTTAATGTACCTTGAGCTGACATCTCCTCATGACTGCATATAACTGCTGGAAATGCCTTCTGGATGAGTCAGCTGAAGGAAGGCAGGCTCTGATTGTCTGACTGACGCTGCTGCCGAACACGCGCATTTCCAAAAACACAGCCTGTGGAAAGAAACAAGAAATCCCGATAGCGAAACCATAAAATAACTGGGATAGCTCCCTCAAACTAGTGTCCCTAGAGACACTTTAGCAGTTTCACATAAATAAACCAAGCATTCCCTCGGAACTAAGATTGCAGCAGTGCCTCACTACTGATACCCATCGGGAAAGAAATGCCCATAAACTCACACTCTAATATCTGTGTCCGACGCCGCATTAACCTTCTCCCAGCAAAACCTTTCCGAGGTTTCTGACAACACAGGATTAACTGTTATTTGGGAATCGCTATGTAGCCTTTCATTTAAGATGGCAAAACGTGAACAGCTGATGTTACTGACCTCCCCCCCCCCGTTCAGGCGTTACTTGAATGGCTGTACCAGGGCAGTGACCACACACAGTGCGGGCAGCCTGTCCAACCACACCAGCCAAGCTCTCCCATGCCGACGGACCCAACCTCACGCCAGAGCCGCCTGTCCTGCCGCGGACGTGCGGCGGCCTAAGTTACCGTTCTTCCCCTTGGCCACAGCGGCTGCCGCCAGGACGCCCCGCAGTAGCGGACTCCAGGCATGGCGTGGCAGGAAACAGCCCCCGCTCCGCGCCCCAGCCTGGGGTCTCACCTGGTCGGGCGGCCAGCCAAAGTACTCCAGCACTCGCCTTAGAAGACCCAGCACCAGCGCCATGGCCGCAGCTCCCGCTGCAGGGCTGGAGGAAGAGGTCGCCACCCCACAGACAGGGACACCGCTCCGAGCGGCGGCCCGTCTCCGCCGCACTCCCACCTCACCAGAAGAGCCGATGCCACCCCGGGCCGACAGCAGGCATACTGCCCGCCCCGACCTGCTCCACAGCACAGCCGGGCTGGCAGCGCCAATGGGGACTAGGAGGCGGGGCGAAAAGGAAATTACGCCAATAGGAAGTCGGCAGTAGTCAGAGCAGAGCCAATAAGAGACGAGGACGGCCGCGTTCGCGGTGCGTGTCGGGAGGAGAGCGGGTTTGAACGCCGCGGGGAGGGAGATTACACCTGCAACATGCGTGTGTGTGCGGCTGGCTGCTCAGTGGGCTCTAGCGAGGGCCGTCAGCGTGCGCTATTCGTATGAGGAATAGTGATCTTTTCCACCAATAGAATCATAGAATAATTAGGGTTGGAAAGGACCTCAAGATCATCTAGTTCCAACCCCACCTTATGCTAAATCGTATCACCCAAGGCCTCGTCCAACCTGGTCTTGAACACTGCCAGGGATGGAGCATTCACAACCTCCCTGGGCAACCCATTCCAGTGCCTCACCACCCTCACAGGAAAGAATTTCCTTCTTATATCCAATCTAAACTTCCCCTGTTTAAGTTTGAACCCATTACCCCTTGTCCTGTCACTACAGTCTCTAACGAAGAGTCCCTCTCCAGCATCCCTATAGGCCCCCTTCAGATACTGGAAGGCTGCTATGAGGTCTCCAAGCAGCCTTCTCCAGGCTGAACAGCCCTAACTTCCTCAGCCTGTCTTTATACAGGAGGTGCTCCAGTCCCCTGATCATCCTCGTGGCCCTCCTCTGGACTTGTTCCAACAGTTCCATGTCCTTTTTATGTTGAGGACACCAGAATTGCACACAATACTCCAGGTGAGGTCTCACAAGAGCAGAGTAGAGGGGCAGGATCACCTCCTTTGACCTGCTGGTCACGCTCCTTTTGATGCAGCCCAGGATACGGTTGGCTTTCTGGGCTGCAAGCACACACTGAAGCTGGCTCATGTTCATTTTCTCATCAACCAACACCCCCAAGTCCTTCTCTGCAGGGCTGCTCTGAATCTCTTCTCTGCCCAACCTGGAGCTGTGCCTGGGATTGCTCCGACCCAGGTGTAGGACCTTGTACTTGACACAGTTAAATTTCATGAGGTTGGCATCAGCCCACCTCACAAGCCTGTCAAGGTCCCTCTGGATGGCATTCCTTCCCTCCAGCATATCAACCGAACCACACAGCTTGGTGTCATCGGCAAACTTGCTGAGGGCGCACTCAATCCCACTGTCCATGTCAGCGACGAAGATGTTAAACAAGACCAGTCCCAACATCAATCCCTGAGGGATGCCACTCATTACTTACCAGGGCATCTCCTTGTGCCCAGCTGATGCGGAGTATCCTACTCGAGGGACAACGCAATTCAGCATGTGCAGCACATCAGCAATGTGGTATAATGAGCATCTTAATGAGCTAAACTGAAATGTGACAGTTTAGGTCGTCTATCTCTTAAGGCTTCTAGCTGGTTCATTCAGAGAAGTAAATTTAACAAGGCAGAAGCAGAGCTTCAATGCACCAAGTATCCTCAAAACACTGTGTGACAGCATACTGAGCTCATGTCAAAGTAAGAAATCCATCTTTGGATACTGTACTTGCTCTTTTGTCAAGACTTCTGCTGTTTTGCTTAAGAAACTTTGAAAGTATCAAGAAAGCCAGTAGTTTGACACAGTAAGACAATGCTTCTGCTCAGAGAAGAATCCTGTTCCCAGCAGCACTAATTTCACCAAAGCTTTCCAGCAATAAACTGATCAGACATTTTCTTTATTCACATTTACAGGGGTGTCTCAGCAACAATTCCCAAACAAACACAACCCTGGAACTCCAACACGTTGTTGCAATGTGACTGCCTTCGCTTGTAGTTACTATTATCCACAGCTTGTTATGTGGGTAAGTTTTCGAAGACCAAACAAAAAGGCACAGTACTGGTAACACAAGCTATAATAACAACATAAAGCTATTCTAGGGGACCAGGAGGGTTTAAATTTGAAGAGAGGAAAGGCAGGACTTTTTTAATGGGTATTTTAAAAAACTGAACTGAGTACTTGCCTTGAAAAAAAATGTACTTTCTGCCCACTCCTCCAACACCTTCTGCTCACTAAGGAAGGGAAACATTAGCACAACTGGATGGGGAGAACTGGACACAGTTCCACCAGAAAGTTGTGAAGAGGCAAGGTCCCAAAAGCAACCCAAAACTGAGGCAGTTCAGTTTGACTGCACCATTATCAGTAACAAGCTGCTTTGAAACTGGGCAAGCCAGCTGGGATCTCCCACAAAAGCACTTAAAAGTCACTGAGTAGGACTCTGAGCAGCACAGATGTCTTGTGCCAGATCTCCTTAAAAAAAGGGTTTTGTTAAAAGGCAAGCTTTAAGAAAGCAGGACAACTGACCCGGGACTTAGGACTTAGCTTTGTAGCCTTTACCTCTGGAGGCAAATCAAAGCTTGGTAACTGCTCTGCTTTTGAAGCACCAGCACAGCAAAACTAATGCAGGAAAGCTTTTATCATACGTAACTGCCCACCGTTACAGTAATGCTACTAATAGTTCCTGGGAAGGAAGAGGATATGAGATTTAATTCCAGTGCACAGTCTAGACTAACAGTGTAGCTATTGTATTCGGGGGGGGTTTATCCTTTTTTTTTTTTGTCTGGGCTAGTGAAATGAATGACTGATTTTCCCTGAACTGCAGGGACAGCTTCAAACTTCTTAAGCACATCATGCAGAGATGAAGCGGATTCAGAAGCTGCTTCACCACTGGAATACAGTGAGTCAGAACAAATTACTGAACTCAAAATATAGCCAAATATTTTATACCAGTAGAATGCTTTTTTTTTTTTCTGCAGATCCATCAATGAGGGTCTTTACCATTCACAAGGCAAAATGCACTGAACTTCCATTCACAAGTCATACTACTTTAGTAGCACCAAACCATGTTTTTTCTTATCACAACAGTGAAAATTCATTATTCATGTGTTAAGTAGTAAGTGCTGAAGTTTTGGATTATAAAAAATAATCCCAACTCTGTTTCTTGTAGATCTCTTGACAGACTGCAACTTGCACCTTTGCTTAGATTATCTTAAGCAGTTTTTAAATGTATTTATGGCTGTCACCATGTGTTCTGTAATCAACAAATGACATTCTTATTGAACTGCACTGAAATTCAGGATAAAAAGTTTTTTATGATCTAAGCTACAGACCAGCCTGTAAAATTAAAAGCCATTGTCAAAGCAATCTCCACCAGATTTCCTTGGACACTCAACTGCAGTGAAAAACTTTAATCTGCCTCATTGTGCTGGAACTGTATTGCCTTATGACAAACAGACCACAGCAATCCACCTTCAATTTGACCTAGATGATACAGATTATCTGTCCTAAGGTTATGATATTTCAAATGTATCTTGGTCCTCTCTGTCAAGTTTCAAACTTCACTTGTTGTGAAGTTTCACTTCATTAGGATAAACTTTGACACTGCTGCCAAGTTTGTTTTGTTCCTTTTCTTGCTTATTCTGATTTAACATACACAAAG